GGCAGAGCACAGATAGCCCATTGTGTAGCTTTGTGGTTAACTTTAAACAAACAAACAGTACTAATTCACACTACTTATTACTCTCCAACCTTCTCTTATAGACTTGTTTTAATAAAGTATTTGTTTTTGCTCATCTTCGCTCAGAATTTTCTCTTGTTCTTCCACACATAGTCGTAGTGATCGGGTAAGTCTGTGCTGTAACTTTTCTGAACCTTCAAACATTGCATTAGAAACCAAAATATGGCGTGCATCGCTTTCTCAATAGTGAAAACTTTTAAATTAACACTATAATGACAGCAATTTACACACACCAAATCTTTCATAAGAGCAAAATAATGTTTGTTTGTTTTGAACTTCGTACAAAGCTACACGAGAACTAACTGCGTTAACTGTATTTAGTTTAGCAGTGTAAGACTAGAGGGAAGGCAGCTAGTCATCACCGCCAACTCTTAGGCTACTCTTTTACAAACTTCACATTATAAAGCCTCCACGGCTGAAAGGGCAAGCATGTTTGGTGGGGAACGGGGATTCGAACCCACGACCCTCAGAGTGCGAGTCCAGCGCCCTAACCACCTGGGTATAGAAGTCGGTGCGACTAACTAACGGTGTAGGAGGAGTTGTGGGACACGCAGACAGACGTACAAACACTGAATCTTATTATATAGATAGAAGAGGGAAAAAAAAAGGCTATGACAAATGAAGATTTTCAGCAAAATAAAAAATATAATGAACACTAAGTAACAAAATGTATGTAGTTTACTTCAACTCCAGGTAATTTAACTAAAATAGAAGGTATACTTGTGTAAAAACATAATATGTATGTGATATAGTGCTGTATATAGTGTAACATTTGATTAATCATAGCAACAATTTATATCATTAATACAGGATATCTGTATGAAATGTGATATCAGAACTGATACTCAGGATCATTAGAATGTTGGTTAATTTTTCATTCATAATAACAATACTGTGGAGCGTGCGTAATTGTAATAGTTACTTGAATTATAAGTTCTTTATCAACGTACAAATGTAGTAGTAGTAGTGTTAAGATTGTGGATATACCAACAATATTGTTAAATATGTTTTACCTAGCTGGAGTACCCGTCCACTGGATGGAAGTTATGTAAATTCATGATTAATGAAAGGTTATCTCAGGACATGAAAGCTGCTTCCCTTATGTGTAGTTGTAAAAATACCCATGAAAACTGCAAAACACAAAATGTGAAATCGCAAGTTTGCATATATCTCCACAAGGACCCAACCAACCACCATGCCCAGTAGATCAGATTCTTAATTTGATGTTATAAGTTTAGTCTACAAGATGGTATAATATTCCCTCTTGAAATCGGTTTGATTTCTTTGACTATTTGTTGTAGTTTTTCTAAATGGTTTTGGATGTTTTCGTTAAATGAGTTTATAATTTCTTCTGACATTTGTTGGTTTTCAGCAAGCGAAACATAAATAAGTGTCGTATACAACTTTCCTCAGGCGTATGTTTCTCATCTTTTTCGGAAGATTTTCCTTCTTCAGGTGTGTATTTCTCATTTCTTGAATAAGGAACGTCTTACTTTCCGAAAGTGCTCAAGTTATCATATTTTATTTATTTACTAGTTAGATAGACCCAATAAACCTCCATACGAAATTTGGTGAAGATCCATTAACAGGGGGCGAAGTAGTGGTAAAAAACGCCCATATAAACCGCAAAATGCAAAACTATAAATTTGTATGTATCTCCCCACGGACCCAAATGAACCTCCATACCAAATTTTGGTGAAGATCCATCCACACCCTGCAAAGTAGTTATATGGACAGACAACAGACAGTAATATTGTATTTGTATAGATATCCTTTGATAACCAAGCAAAAGATATGGCTCACGATTTCTTTTATAGAATCAGTACAACTGATTTTAATGTTGTATAATAAGATTTGAAATATTTCTTACAAGAGTTTTCTACATTTTTGGAGTTTTTGTTTCATAAAAAACTTTGATGCAACATGTCGTTTCTAGGCGAACAGTTTTTGGATGTGCAGTAATTAAGAGCTCGTGTAAGGGAAGAACGAAGACAGAATGCATTTCCACAAAAGTAACACCGAATAATGGCATTTAACAACAACTGAGGTTGTTTAAGAATTCGAGGTTTTCCTTAAATATTTATTATTTAGCTATAATTAAGTATATATATTTTGGTTTCCGGTATTTAGTTGTTACCTCTTTATGAATAACTATTTCTATGGTTTAAAGCATTAAATGTACTGCATTAGCAAGAATAAATACAGAATGTTAATATACCTAAAATATCTTTACCTATAATTATTACAATATTATCATGGTGTTAATATTAATTTTTAGTTCAGTTTTGTTTTAATTTTAAACTTTTGGCAGAGGGCAGCAGCAGAAGTATAGCAAGAAAATACTGTATTTAAATATGGCTGTGAATTTATGTTCAGTAGAATTACTTATTCCAGTGACGTGTTAAAAAACGTTATTGTTTTTAGTAAGTATGAATAGTGAAATTTAATGCTGTTTATTTCATAGCATATGTTATTTTGTAAATCATAATTTTTTAAAAGAGTTTGGACATTTTTAGTGATTCTAAAGTCTAGAATTAGACTTTTCAACAATGTCAGTGTGGAATGATTATGGATATATATATGCTAGTGTTACATATTTATTTTCTTTTTCATCGAAGGTAAAATTGAAAATCATAATTTTTTAAAAGAGTTTGGACATTTTTAGTGATTCTAAAGTCTAGAATTAGACTTTTCAACAATGTCA